GAAGCCGGTGCGGCCGCGCTTGGTCCACAGCGGCAGGGCCTTGAACCACTCGACGTCCTCGCGGTTGAAGAACATGTAGCGGATGGTGACGATCTTCTTGTGGATGTGGTACGGGTGACCCGTGAGGATGGCGCGCTTGGCGATGACGCGGTTCGTAGACGACGGCAGGGCGGTGCCGGTGCCGACGAGCGTCAGGTTGAGGGCAGAATCCCCCTCGGCGTCCCCGGATGTGGGCTCGGTGCGCTTGAAGAAGAGGACAGGGACGGCGCCCCAGGTGACGGGACCCATGAAGGTCGCGACGGCGGACTGGCCCGGGTGGAGGTATCTGGCAAACTTGTGCACGTTGTTGGGCGTGTTGCCCGGCTGCGAGAAGACGGGGTTGATGGTGAAGCGGCGGGGGCCGCACTGCACGATGAGCTCCTCCTTGGCCTTGATGGACTTGTCGTGGTCGGCGCTCAGGTTGAACAGATAGTTGACGGCCGTCTTCTTCTGCTCGTGGCGCAGGAGGGAGAAGAGCGTCACCGGCCGGCCGGGCTGGTGCGACTTCTCAAAGGACGCCGGGACGCCCTTGAGGTAGACGTGGACGCGGGTGCCGGGGGCGACCCCGCCGACGAGGGCCTCGCGGGTGGACCGCGACCGGGACGCCTGGTAGTCTGGGATCTGGAGGAGCTTGCGCCACTCCTCGGGCTCGTAGGCCCGATCTTCGCTCTCGAGCCACTCGCTCGTCCTGAGGCTCTTGAGACCTCTGTACCGTTGCAGGCGCTCGCGCGCGAGGACGCCCGGGTGCAGCTCGATCTCGTCGGGGAATTCCTTGTCGTCCTCGACCTCGTCCGTCTTGCGCGCGCGGTAGGCGGCGAGACCGGCCGCGTCCTCCTCTTCATCCGGCTCGATGAATTTCTCGGACTGTGCGTATGTTGTAGGTGCGCCCTCGGTGGGCTCTCTGGGCGCGGCACCCTCGAGACCATCCTCGGGGCGGGCCTCATCCTCCTCAGAGTCGCCGTCCTGCATCTCAAAGTCCTCCATGTCGGAACCTGAGTCTGACATGTCGTCGCCGAGGTACCATGCCGCTTGGTAGTTGGACGTTCCCTTGGGGACTCTGGTCTTGGCTTCCGCGGCCTCGTAGTAGTCATCGTTGAAGTAGTGGTGGTCGTCAAGAAGCACACCCTTCTGGATCTCTGGCGGCTCAGTCGTTTCCATCTCGTCGTCTTCCATCGGCGCATCAGGGGCCAGCTCTGCCAGATCATCCTGGTCTTCATCAGGGGTATCAAGAGTCTCCTCGGTCTCGGTCTCCTCCACGGCCATTTCGCCTCTCTTCAGCTTCTTGGGCAACGGCGCACTCGTAATCTTCTCAATCTGGAATGTGCCAAAGTCGCCCAGCTGAACCAAGCGGTTGGCCTTCAAGCCACGTCCCCTGACGACACCAGTGATGACTGTTGAGTCAAGTCCTGAGCTGGCGAACTTGATGTCCTCGGCCAACATCCAACTCCTGTCCTCGCGCCACCTGACACCCTTTGGTGTGGTGTTGCAGAGCGACCTCATGAGGTTGGCGCACTCTTGTCTGTTCTCCAGCTGGTAAAGCTTCTCCTGCTCAGGGTGGAAGTGGGTGATGTATGACCTCAGGGAACCGAGGGTGGACTGCTTATGCTTGGCTTGGTCGATCTTGTCCACACCGTAGACAACGGTGAAGAGGGTTGACAGACCCTGGCTCTCCAGACTCCTCAGCATCAGCTCTCCAAGCTCATCGACCTCAACGTCGGCGGAGAGCATGACCACCACAAAGTCGGCGACCCGAGTGGCGTCCAAAACCGCATTCAGGTCCCGCTTGAGAGGGATGTACTGGACCTTCTGCTTGAATCTGTCGACGGAGACTCTGAACGGCGTCTCCCCCACTTCGGCCTCGATGTCGACGCTCTCGTTCAACTGCTTGATGGCGACCGCGGCGTCACCATCCTGGCATAGGGGAACGACCGCAACAATCCGCGGTGCTCCATCCCGCCCGACAAACAAGCTGGCTTCCTCCAATCTCTCCTTTCGCTTGGCGATCTGGCGCTGCTTGGCCTGGTTTCGTCGGTCGAATTTGGACAGAACTTGCTGGTGGGGTGTCTTTCGCTGCCCCTTTTCGTCACCCGGGAGTCTGCCTATTCAGACCAAATATTAGTTTGAAAATTCCACTAGAAAATGTGCCCTCGGATTTTGGGTGAGGCAGAATCTGGAGGCGAACCTTTGGCGGCGTCCCTCAGCGCACCCTTGGAGGCATGCTTGGACTTGAAGGGCTTGTGGGTGACTTTGGTCGTCGGTCGGTGAGAGTGACTCATGGTCGCGGCGGGCGGTTTCCCGTCTCCCCCAGCCTTGAAACGAAAGGGTAGCGAAGCCAGGTTGGAAAGAGGCTTCTTTTTCTACTTTTCACAGTCGAAATCGAGACTTGGTCGAGTACGGCGCAATTTTTGGACTTTTTGGACGGATTTGCGCCTGTGATGCGGATGGAGGGGTACTCTGACCGACTATTTTTTTGAATTCGTGCGTGCGTTATCTGGAGACGTCCATTGGCTTGCCGAAAGTTTCTGCGGGGCTCTGGCTGGGGTGATAAGATACGCTCGAACCAGGATCCCGATAACAGAAGAGCCGAAGAAATTTTGGGCCGAGTCGCTGCTATTGAGCATCTCAGTGAACTTTTTTTTCCTTGCAGGGACCCTTCGCGACGGCACTCCACGAGCACTCCAGACCTGCCAGCCACGAAAACGAACCTCATAATCCGTTTGCCCACCATGGATATCGACACACCCGAGACGCAGACGATATCGCGGAGGGACAACCCGCACTCCAATGGCGCCGTGCAGGTGAAGCGCCGCACCGACCTCGTCCCGCGCGAGGAGCGGGAGAAGATCCGGAGGCTCAAGGAGGCGAACAAGTCGTACGGCCGCGGCAAGAGCGTCAACATGAAGTCGATCAAGGACAAGAAGCTGCGCACCAACCTGTCCAAGCTCGAGAACAAGTACCGCGACGCCACCATCAAGGCCAAGGACGCCGAGATCCTACTCGAGAACAGCAGCGGCTTCCTCGAGCCCGAGACGGAGCTCGAGAGGACGTACAAGGTCCGCCAGGATGAGATCACCGAGGGCGTCTCCGTCACGACGGCGCAGAAGCGGTTCGAGCTGAAGCTGGAGGAGCTGGGACCGTACGTCGGCGAATACACCCGCAATGGCAGGGAACTGCTGCTCGCGGGACGGAAAGGTCACCTTGCGACGTTTGACTGGAGGGAGGGCAAGCTGGGGTGCGAGATTCAACTCAACGAAACCATTCGAGATGTGCGGTGGCTGCACAACAACCAGTTCTTTGCTGTTGCGCAGAAGAAGTATGTCTACATCTACGACCACAACGGTGTTGAGATCCACTGCTTGAGGAAACACATGGAGGTCACACACATGGAGTTCCTCCCCTACCATTTCCTCCTGGGCACAGTGGTAAGTTTTGAAATCACGAATGCAAGCTCTTCTGAGCTTCGCTGACAATGGCCATAGGCATCAACAGGTTTCCTCAAATACCAGGATGTTTCGACAGGCGACATCGTCTCCGAGATCCCCACCAAGCTCGGCCCCCCAACAGCCATGACCCAAAACCCCTGGAACGCCGTATTCCACGTAGGACACCAGAACGGCACAGTCACTCTCTGGTCACCCAACCAGACCGACCCTCTCGTCAAGCTCCTGGCGCACAGAGGGCCGGTAAGATCACTAGCCGTCGACCGCGAGGGTCGATACATGGTCTCCACCGGTCAAGACTGCAAGATGGCCGTCTGGGACATCAGGATGTTCAGAGAAGTGAACCAGTACTTTACAAGAACACCCGCATCCTCAGTAGCCATCTCCGACTCGGGTCTGACGGCCGTCGGTTGGGGCACACAGACCAGCGTCTGGAAGGACCTGTTCAACAAGAACATACCCGTCCAGGAGAAGATCCAGAGCCCGTACATGGCTCTCGGAGGCGAAGGCAGACGCGTCGAGCGCGTGCGGTGGTGCCCCTTCGAGGACGTCCTCGGCACGGGCCACGACGAGGGCTTCTCCTCGCACCTCATCCCCGGCGCCGGCGAGGCCAACTTTGACGCCCTCGAGGTCAACCCCTTCGAGACTAAGAAGCAGAGACAGGAGGCTGAGGTCAAGGGCCTGCTGAACAAGCTCAAGCCCGAGATGATTGCCCTGGACCCCAACTTCATCGGCAACATTGACCTGCGCTCGGCCGCGCAGCGCAAGGCCGAGAAGGACCTGGACGCGAAGCCGCTGTCCGTCGAGGAGGAGATCAAGAACCGCGCCAGGGGCAAGAACGGCGCATTGAAGAAATACCTGCGCAAGCAGAGGAAGAAGAACATCATTGACGAGAAGAGGATGAAGGTTGATGAGATCTGGGAGAAGCGCAAAAAGGAGAGGGAGAGCAAGAACCAAGAGGCGGAGGCTGATCTCGGCCCGGTGTTGTCGAGGTTCGCGCGCAAGGAATAATGCGGATGATGAGGAAGTGGGAAATTGTGGCTGTAAAAAGTTTTGACAAAAGTTGGAACGGGAGGAGTTGGTTGCATGTAAAAAGGCGTTTTAGGCATTTGCTCCCTTAGTGACCATGAATACCCGAATCTGGAAGATATTCTCTATCCTCTCTATCTTCCCTGTAAGAGATTTCCTGCTACTATGTCTACTTCTGGGTGTTTTGTCTTCATCAGTCCCAGTACGACTTTTTTTTCTCCTGTATCAAGCTTCTCAGCAGAGACAAATTAGGTAGGCATTTGAGTCAAGTCACAAGAGCCAACATCATCAACATTGGCGTAAGCAGCGTGACTTTTGATCATCATTCCAGGACATATCTCATGTCCGCATGTAAAGTGAAGTACTATCAGTCCTTCGCCTACTTTTATGTACCGTACGCCATTACGCTTCATTCGTGCATGTTCCCAAAGTCTATATTCCCCATACCAACTTTTCTTTTGTGATGAACCATTTGGATTTCTCTGATCGCCTTTACAGCAGCTTCAAGTGTCCCGTAATCTGGTCAACCAAGCTTCTGGGCGCAGGGCCAACGCCCAGAACAGTCAGACTGCCGGCCTCGATCTGCGTCCGGCCGGCATCGGCAATCACCTCGGAAGTGACACCAAGACTGCGCGCCTTGCCCATGAGCTCGAGCATCTCGTCCTGGTTCTTGATCTGAACGGCAATCTTGGCCTGGCCGAGATTCTCCCAGCGAGAAAGGATCTTGGCGGCGGGGGATGAGGGGTCTTTCGCTGCGATCTTGGACAGGGACTTGTAGCATGCCAGAGTCGCGTGCGAGGCTTGCGCTGCCATCTTGCCTACAAAGGAGAGAGATTGGTAAGCTTTGGATCGCCTTTCAGGGGTCTAGTGAGAGAAGAGCAAGAACATACCCTTGGTCATGCCCAGGTCCGTCCGGACGACGAGGACGAGCTTGCACTCCTCATTATTATCCACCAGCGGTGTGCCAGCCGGGTTGGGCTTCTTGGAAGAGGCGGGCTTCTCGGAAGTATTGCCCTTGCGCTGGCGCAGGCCGTCACGGCGGTCGGCATCTAGGCCATTGGCCCAGTTGGGCGCGTGGTCGAGAACGGTGTCGTCCTCGTCGATGTCGGACTCCTCGCTCTCGACAGGGTCGTCGAAGTTGGCGCGGGCTTCGGAACGCAGTTCGGGGGAGATGAGGTAGCCGCGGATCGAGTAGACGCCGAGGAGGAAGCCGGTCATGAGGGCGACGATGGAGGTCGACAGCACCACGGCTGTCTGCTGGCCGCCTGTGTCCGCCATTCTAGCGCGGCTTGTTCGGGATTGTAGAGGTGTTTTGGCGTCGGCTCAGAAGGTCTAAGGAGAGAATTGCTGAGAAACGTCACCGCGATATGGAGGAGTTGGGCGGGTGAGATGGGATGAACTGCAACTTTTTGGTGGGATAGGATTGGATGGACGAAATTGGAGACGTCGAGTTCCAATTCCAGGTCTTTCAAACGGCGCTTCGCCAGGCCGGATGACGCACGCCAGGGGCTTGCCTTGCCTGCCTTGGCCTGTCTGGGTTTGGCTGAAACCCCCTGGACCGCCGCTCCCGGTGACCCTTCAGCGGAGGGTGCCCCCACTATCTGACCTTCCTACCAGGGAGGGGTAGTGGTGGGGTTTATTGACTTCCATGGGGGTCTAACAATCTAATAGTAAGCTACTGCAAGCTGGAATCTCAGATCAAGACTTGGCTGCGACTATCTCCCGCTTCTTCACAGTTTAGCAACTGGCGGTCTATCTGACGGGCAACGACTCATAAACGAGTCTAGTCTACCTTACGCTCCGTCAGTATTCCCCGTCAAGTCTGAAAGCAACCCATAACAAGGTTGCTATCCTGAGAGACACACTCGCTCACGACTCACAGATAAATCTTCCGCAAGGTGCATCACGATAAAGCTTCAAGATGGCGGGGAAGAATGCCGTGATCGTCGGTTTGAGCGGCTGCTCTTCCAGCGGGAAGACGACACTCGCCCGTCTACTAAGAGATATTTTCCCCAGTACATTTATTCTCCATGAGGACGATTTCTACAAAGCCGAATCCGAGTAAGTCCCTGTGGATCATGGTATTGGTTATATCTTGCTTACATCCCCAATAGACTACCAAGTAAGAATGGTCTCTTGGACTGGGACTGTCCTGAGTCCATATCTATCCCTGATATGGAAAAAGCCCTCATTCACATCCGTGAGAATGGCACTTTCCCGGTAAGTTGCACTCGAATAGCACAATTCCATCCATGCTTCTCACACAATGCCCTCACCAGCCCTTTGTAGACTCGAAAGAAGACCAAAACTCCGTCGGAAAATGCCCAGTCTCCACTGACAAGATCGCCGCCATGAAAGCAAAAGTCGAAGCCTGGCTCCAGCCCGGCAAGCCAGGACACGCCATCTTCACCGAGGGCAAGCTCAATGTCTGTCTCTTTGACGGCTTTCTCCTCTACTGCAAGGAAATGGAGACGACCATGGAGCTTATCGACATCAAGCTGTTCCTTCTCGTGAGCCGCGCCAAGGCGACGCAGCGGCGCGAGGCCCGCGATGGGTATGTCACACTGGAGGGATTCTGGCAAGACCCTCCCGGGTACGTGGACAAGATTGTCTGGCCTAATTATGTCGAGTCTCACTCGTGGCTTTTTGAGCATGGAGATGTCGAAGGAAAGTTGAATGCGGAGGTACTAAGTGAGAAGAACATCAAGGCACAGCTTGGCAAGGGACTGGATATTGATATGGAGACTACTCTGGAGTGGACTGTTGACATTATCATCACGGAGTTGGAGAAGCGTGCTTCTGAGAAGGTTTAAGAAGACCAACGGGATTTCATGAGACACTGAACTAAAGATTCAATAATAATATGTGCAAGAAGATAAGCGTATGTACTTCACCCCTTTCCCTAGGGTGTTTTGAAACAGCTCCAAGCAGCTCTTGTCAAACACTGTGAACCACCGAGGCATTCCAATATAACTATCCTTGCCAGGTGTCAGACTTCGTAGCCGTCGACGAGCAGGTTGACGGGACTGTGTAGCTGCGATTGGGGTCACTCTCCCAAGTGACGGCACCACCGCTGGCAACATTGATGTACTTGTACTGGAACGTCGTACCAGCCGGCAACTCAATGGTCACAGTCCAGATGGGGTTGGCCGAAGTGTATCCCGAAGCACTCAAAGCGATGGCATTGCTCGGGTTCCAGCTTCCGAGGGCGGCGGTGCTACCCACCAACTTGATCGTCTGGCCAAACTGCGTCACGACCCGGGCGTTGAAAGTAACGAGCACGGAGCTGGCAATAGGGCATCCCGTTGCGGTTGGCGTAGCCCCCGTGGTAGTTCCCGTGGGTGATCCGCCTCCTCCACCAGGAGTCTGGTTGGCAGGGAACGACGTCGCCGTGGCGCTGGAGTACGAGCCGGCGATGGAGGTAGCCTGGCAGGTACCAGGGACCGAGGTGGCAGAGCCGACCCAGCCCTTGGGGATGACATTGGCACGGCGCTGGGCGGCTGTGAGGAAGGCCGCGTAAGACCAGGTGAGGTCGTCGGCCGAAAGGGGCTGACCGTTGCTGCGAGAGAACTGCTCGGCGAGCGAGCCGTTGGATTGGGCGTAGGTCGCGACCACGTTCATAAAACCGTCCGCGTAGGCGCTGACGGTGCTGATGAGCGAGTTGTAGGTTGACGAGCCGGAGGCGTACGTCCCGGGTGCTACGGAGCCGTCACGGTCACGGAAGAAGGCCAGGGACGTCTGGGTGACTGTGATGGACCCTTGCTGCTTCCAAACATAGAGGGCGTCGTAGAGCTGCTCGGCGGCGGCCAAGGTGTTGAGATACCACGGGTTGCCGTTGTAGTAGCTGTCTTCGGGGTATCTGCCGACTGCGACGGCGGCGGATTGGGCGATACCGTTGTTGATTGCGTAAATGGAACGGAAGGAATCTACGACGACCTTGTGGCTGGCAAGGGCTTTGTCACTGCAGGGCTGGAAAGTCGCCGCGTCGCAGGCTGCGGCCGGGTCGAAGTTGTGAATGGAGGCGAGGATGACGTTGGCATCACGGCCAGATCTTCCGTTTCCGTTGACTTAAGGGCGTTAGACTGCGTGGTTCACTGACAGTTAGGCAGGATTGTGCTCGTGAACTCACTGTTTGCAACCATAAAGTTACCAGATGGGTTCCAGAATCTGCCCAAGAAACACAGGACTTGGGGAGCCACGGCATCACAAGCAGCGCAAGACTGTCCAAGAGACCGGGCCAACGCGCTGCCCTCAACAAGAGCTGGATTCTTGAGTTAGTCTTGATGACTGTTCATCATGTATTGAGGTGAACTCACCGCGATGTTGGCTGGCGACAGTGAAGAAAGAGCTTCCCTGGACCTCCTCCCACAGATCAAAACCAGTCTGGTTCCTGGAGACAAGTTAGAGATGCTCATAGCCACTTGTAATCTAGTCTTCTTACCAGTACTGAGCAACATATGCCAAGTCATTGCGGATCACCGGCCACAAGACGGATGAGGCAGTAGACGAGTAGCCGTTTGATACGAGCCATTTCGCGTAACCGATAATGGCAATGGCTCGCAGCGCCGGACCATCTCTCTGAGGTCGTCCTAAGTCAATATTAGTATGCTCCTCAAATCCAGTGGCAAATTTCCAATATACCCCAAGCACCCGTGAAGGGGGCCAAGTTTACTTCAAACTTGGGCTCGCCAAGGCCGGCACCATCACCCAAGCCTCCGGAAGGGTTCGAAACTCCCTGGAGACGAGCTTGAGAGGCGATGTAGTTCTGAATATTGGTCTGAAGGTTTGCATCGTAGCTGTTGGTGAATATGTCTACCACAGCCTTGAAGACGAGACCAGCATCTGCGGGCCTGTCAGTTTCTGCAGTGGAACCACCGGTAGATTGCATTTACCTCTAGTCCACGTGTAGAAATCTTTGGTACGTTAGCTAAAGTCCCTGAATCGAGGTGCCATGTTTGCCCCCCGGAGAACAAGTCGGTGAATTTGCTCCTCCGCTCGTTTCCCCGCTTGAAGCGTGTCACCAACAGAAGTTAGGGAACTTACACGGTGGGTCGGTCTTGTCCGGAGAAGCAATAACGATGCCAGAGCTGACGCCCTGAGCATGGCAACCGTTAGGGCCAATGTTGCAGAGCAGCTGCGCAAGGGCTATGGGAGTCTCAGTGGCAATGAAGGAGTCGACGTCCCTCTTGACAAATTGGCCGCCGGGATAGCCAAAGATCGTTTGGGTGGCGAGTGACCCAAGCAGAAGAGCGGAAGTGAGAAGCTTCATGATGGGCTGTGTAAGACGCTCTGTGGTGTTGTGTGCCAGGCTTCCTGACATGACATGTTGCAGGTAAACCATGATGATTATATACTTCTTCGCGAGGCACGAAGAAGCGGTAGGGCAGGGGGTGTGTTCGGGGTGGGTTGCTTTGATGTGTCTCGAAGGCCCGAATGCTGGAGTATCACCGAGCTGTCAAGCTGGCCTGCATTAGTCTCACGAACATCCAAGATGCCCCTCGTCACGAGCTAGAAACTGGACTTATGTCGGCACAACGGCGAGAGAATTTTGGTCGAGCCGTTCAATAGCTCCCCCAAGCCCGCCCGGTTCTGGAGTACAAGCCTACGATCCCACCTCTCGTCGTCCTCACTCTCACTTTCGAGTTCTTTTGGAAATAGTATCAGTGCCGGCAGCTACAAGTGCTCCAGCAGTGCCGTGAGACAAGGGTAACAATAATCCCAGCTCAGGAGATGCCGTACAGGTCGCACGTGGACCAAGTTGGCTGTATAATCAGAAGGCCACCTCAGGAAGGCAGCAAGGATAGCAGACAGGGGTTGAGTGATGTCGTCGGCAAGGCCAAGGAGATCAGACAACCTTGTCGTTCGGTCCTTTCCGCCAGGAACTGCGGGGTGTTATTGGTGGCTATGATGAACTTCAGGAGGACTCATGGGGGTTGGGGTCGAGGGGTAGTGGAGGAGGAGGTTTAAGCGTTCCCCGCACACTCCTTCCCGAGGCTTAGGCTTGATCGAACGACTAAGACATTGGATGGCTTGCACTGCTGATGCTTAATGCGTATTGGAGTGGGAGCGGCCTTTGTCTGGAACATACGCTCCTCGTAATTGGACGAACCTGAGAAAGAGAGCGATGCTTTAGGTCATTTGAAAGGAGAGGCGAGTAACAACTGTCGTTGTTGTTGTTGTCCCGTCTGAGCCAGCCTCATGTCTCATCGGCATCTGGAAGCTGGGCATGCGATGCTTCCTCACCCACCTGCGCTTGCTGGTGGTGTGATGCCATCAAGTCGACATCATCAATGCGGAAACTCCTTCTCCCTCGAGGCCGAAATGTCCTTTTTACAGCTTGCTCATTTGCTGCCGTGCAGTAGCGTCGACCAAGCTGTATGAAGTGTAACGATGTTACGGCGGAGTCTCCTGTTGATATCGGGCCGGACGAGAGAGAGTTAGCCATGCCAATAGCTACCCCAGATCACACGGCTGCACCCCGCACCGGCCATCCCACATGTTGGCCAACTTGGCCCCGTTGAGACGGCCGGCCGGGATATCCAGAACGGGGACTCTGCGCCGTAACCGACAAACTCTGATGGCCTTGAGAAGCGAGAGGGTGGGCACCAAGATGCAGGAGCAGTATGCATCGTCGGACGGCGCAAGCTTGAGATGACAGCGCCAGGTACGGGATGCGCCGAGAAAGAGCCCGTGGAGACAATCGTGGCTCGTCTATCGATTTTTATCCGCAGGTCTTTCACATGTCTTCTTAGGTAAGAATGGTACTAGATATGGGATATTTCATGTAAAAACCTGGTAACAGCATCTTCAAAAGTGGTCTATGGTCTAGGCACAAAAGAGATGCCCGCAACTCGGTTTTACATGGTCCGCGAAGACTGTTATTGCGAGATGGTTGCCAGTTTCAGGCAAGTGCGATTTTTCCTTCTCACTTGAAGCTGCCGTAAGCCTGACGCGCCACAGTCGCGGGGCAAAATCCGGATGGAAGCTACCACTTTACGCGCTCGAGATAGTGAAATTTCTTCAGCAAAATTTACGTGGAGAAGACTAGGAGTTCTCCAGGGTCAAAGTTTGTGGGCAAGTCATGGTTTTCCCTAACCTCATAGATCGACGATCTCGGCAAAAGGGGTAGGAATATGACGTCCCCAGTACAAGATTACACCACGCTCAAGCTTTTGACGGCGAACATGGCTGCCTCAAGACCGGTCACTCTTGAACCTGTCGATCGGAAGATTGACATCATGAAATTTGATGGCTCCTTGGATGATCGAGCTGCCGCAGAACTCGACCCTGACTCCCGTAGGAGCAGAGGAATTCTGGGCACAGGCCCGTGTTTGTTGAAGAAGGGAAAGAAAGAGAGAAGAGAATTTTCGCAAGGCTGCGCTATGTAGTAAAAATCAGAGACCCACCTCGGACGATTAGCTAAGCACAGGTCGTTGGCGGTGGAGAACGACCCTGATGAGCCTGGGTGCCTGGCAAAGTGTTGGTGAGCCGCATGCTTTTTCCGGTTGGCCACGAAGTTTGACGCCTGGTAAGGTATCCTTATCGGAATCGCACTTGCAACTCCAGCTTCCATTCCGTCGATGCTCTCCATAGTACTTTCACCGTCCGCAGCCCTCGACTCACCATCGTGTCAACTGGCGAAACCGCATCTCTTTTCAACCCTGCACAACGAAACGGACGCACCTATCGCCAGAAATATTCAAGACGCAAGTTACAGCCAAGATGGACGCCGCGACCATCGAAGAGACGAATCGCATCCGCGTTTCGCTGGGCATGAAGCCATTGCCGGTCCCTGGTGCCGCCCCAGCCGAAA